CTCCAGAAGAGGTTTTTAACACTAAGCAGCATCTGGAGGATCCAGCAGTAGCACATGCTTTCAGAGAGAACAGTTTGAACAAGGGCTGATGAACAACCCGGCAACAAACAACCCAAATCCCAATGTCGAATGGGGTATTCTCGACACTGTCATGACAAAAACATGCAGAGAGGCCCTCAGCTAGATGGAAAGCATACACCAGGACTGGTTTGATAAAAATGACCAGGAAATCAATTTATTCGTCGATGATAAACATGCTGCTTTAACTGGCTGGCTGAACAACCCTCAATCTACGAACAAAGCTGATACCTTCCGGAGGAAGAAAGCAGAGGCCCAGTGCGAATTTTACAAAGTAAAGAACGGCTGGTTTAAAATTAAGAACATGAAAAGCAAAAACTTCCAGATCAACACACGATGTGCGAATTTTTTAATTCCATTAAAAATTTTTATTGGCCAATCACTCATGGCACAGCCCTCTTTCGCTCATCCGATGGTAACTCCCTAATTAAAGATGAAGAATACATTCTTCAGCGATGGAAGGAGCACTACCATTCACTGCTCAACTGAAACACCGATGTGGATGTCCTGACTAACCAGCAGGTCTCTCAGCATCCACAGCTGACCCTTCTCAGCTATCCCCCATCCCAGGATGAGGTAGCTACTGCCATCAAACAGATGGAAAACAACAAAGCCTCAGAGTCTGATGGAATCTCAGCCGAGGTGTATAAGCAGGAGAACCTCCGTTTGCCAGCTGTCTCCACTCTCATGGAAAATATTTTTGGAAAAGGAAGAAATCCCCCAAGCTCTTAAAGTTGCCTCCATCATCAATATTTATGAGAACAAGGGAGACCGGCCAGACTGTGGCAACTAATGCAGGATCTCGCTGCTGTCCGTAGCTGGCAAGATTATCGCTCGAGTCCTCCTAAACAGACTTCCTCCTGAGACGGAAAGCTTTCTCCCAGAATCTCAATGTAGCTTTAGACCATCACATGGCACCACTGACTTGATCTTTGCTGCCCGCCAGATGCAGGAAAAGTGCAGAGGACAGCGTCGTGACTTGTACATGGCCTTCATCGACCTAACCGAGGCCTTCGACTCAGTCAACAGGGAAGCCCTCTGGCGGACACTAACCCGTTTTGGCTGCCTACCAAAATTCATCGCCATCGTGACGCAACTCCATGATGGCATGAACGGCAGTGTCCTGAACAATGGCACCCAGTCTGAGTTCTTCCCCATCCAAACATGGTTAAAGCATGGATGTGTACTAGCACCAACTTTCTTTTCCATTTTCTTGGTTGCTTTTCTGTTTTTTTTTATTGTTTTCTTTTTTTGTGGGCTTAGCCCACTAAGGCACAGGTCAATGACCTTATATCAGGGTCTGTGAGCAAAAGTAATAATAATAATAATAATAATAATAATAATAATAATAATAATAATAATAATAATAATAATAATAATAATTGATAAAAAATAATAAATTATAGAAAATATTAAATTAAAATATAATGCAGAACTGTATAATATAATGATAATGAAACATTAATAATAATAATAATTATAATAATAATAATAATAATAAGGGATCATAAATAAATACAAAAATTGAAAAAAAAAGATCAATGATATACTATATGTATGTTGTGCTGTCAAAGTAAGAGAAACAATTGAAACCCTACAATTGTGTGTAAATGGGGGAGAAATTCCGATCAGTAACCTGGGACTTAGTTACAATATTTGTGATGCCATATGGCAGCAGGGTCTACCATTAGACAATACATTATACTTCCAATATCTTCCTAGACGGTAGTACCTCCCTGTTTGATAGCTGCCTACTACCTACTAGTGCCAGTGCCAATTTAGCCGGCGGGGTGGACATCCAGTACCGGATCCTGAACATCTACGCAGATGTGCATGCACACTTCGGCCTTGGATCTCTGAATCTCTTTCAGCCTGCCCCTGGTTCAGCTACACCTCCACCATCCACCCAGCTTAACGGTACTACCCTCTACAATGTTACCCACTTTCAGTATCTCGGTTCCCACCTGTCCACCACCGTGGACATCGATGAAGAGATTCAACATCGGATCATATGTGCATCTTAAGCCTTTGGCAGACTCTGTGCCCGTGTCTTCAGTTGTAGGGAGCTTAAATTATCTGCAAAATTGCACGTAGATCGAGCAGTGGTCCTCCCCACCCTGCTATATGGCAGAGAGACATGGGTCACATACAGGAGGCACCTCAAGCCACTTCAAAACTTTCACCAATGTAGTCTACATTCCATCCTCCGAGATCGCTGGGAAGACAAGAGAACAAATGCCAATATTATCGCTGACACCAACTGTAGGAGCATCGAGGCTACTATGTTGGACTGGCCATGTTACCTGCATGGACGACAGTAGACTGCCAAAGCAGCTACTTTAATCACCTAACTACTCGTAAACGTAACGCTGGCGGGCAACTGACAAGGTATAAGGATAGTCTTAAGACAAACCTGAAAAGTGCCAAATCGACCCCCACACCTGGGAGACGATTCCTCCACACCGTAACGCTTGGAGGAGCACCACACGAGAAGGTGTCGATACTTTCGAGTTAGCCCAACTGCAAACCGAAGCAGACAAGCGCCAAAGCCGGAAAGACTCTGCCGCCTCCCCTCCAGCACTAGATGTACCCCTCCACATGTGCAACATCTGTGAACGACCCTGCCGGTCCCGTATCGGCCTCTCTAGTTACCTCAGAGCTCACCAACGAAAGTGACATCCTTAATAACTCATATCGTTTTCTCATAGCAGGATGATCGTCATAATCAATTGTGTGTGACAGCAAAGGAGTCGTTGTGTTGAGGACGGTTGTGCGTGTTTATGAGTGCTGAGTGTGTGAGTGAGTTAGTGGTACCTTTGATAGTTAGTCACTGTACTAGACTGTACGTAAAAAAATAAAAAACATAGAGGTTAATGAAAAGACACACACACACACACACACACACACACACACACACACACACACACACACACACACACACACACACGTGCGCACGTACGCTAAGCAGAGATAATCGCCGTTAAAACTTTATAACCAACTCACGTTTTTGTTAAATAAAGATAATTTTAGCTTTTTTTTCCTACAACCTTATGAAAGAGGAGAGATAAATGTGCGGTGTAATAATAGAGACTGTTCAGGTGTTCCGGAGGGCTGTAATGAGGAGCCGTGTTGTTAATGCTGATACCAATAATGGAGTCGTCAACGTGCAGTTTTTCCAACGAGCTGGAGTATCCTTCAGGGAATCATTGATAAGGATGAGGAATCCGAGAGATCCCATCCTAGTTCCCTGGAAGACGCCGCAGGTGAGTGACTGAAAGATGGAGACGGTGTGTTGAAAGTGAAGTGGTTGGTGACGGTCGATAAGAAAGTCGGTAAGTCAAGAAATTAGACTTTTCCGGGTCCCCAGGCTCATGACTTTGTTCAAAATTATGATGTGTTTGATTAAGTCAAATATTTAGGTAAAGTCTACTAAGGTGAGAGCCGCTGAGATCTTACACTTGCCTAGACGGTGATAGATGAAGTCTAGGAAGCTGAAGACCTGTCGCCTACTATGTCCGTATTGTCGCAGGTATTGGAGAAACACATGGAGTCTACCAGTCAGTGGAGCATTTTGCTTCTCCGAGATATTCTTTGAGGATGAAGCAGGGTTTATTTTTCTAACTAATTCGGGGGAAAATTCCTTGTAGACATTCATTAGTAGGTCAATGGAGCTTAATTCCGAGTTTGTTTATTCGCCTAACATCTTCAAGTTCTTGTTCCAAGTCTGTGGGTGAAGAGGTTGGAAGGTAAGGGTGGAGACTGGTTGTGTCAACTGAGGGAGTCTGGCAAATAGTAAAACAATATCATAGGTGTGTTGCTTCCTAAGATATATGCTGTCCTTATTCATATATTTTTACTGTGATACATTTGTTTTGCATTTAATTTTTAGACTTACCTGTGCAAAACAGTTACACGTGTCATTATTATTATTATAATCATCATCATCATCATCATCATTATCATCATCGGAATGGCAGGTTAAACACAGAAAACACAGCTGACAAGGCCACACGGCGAGAAAAACATTCACATTTCTGGAAATCCAATCGGCTATAACTGCGACCTCCAGTTTCTCATCTCCATCAACAGGAGTGAGGAGAGGTGCAGGCCTACATAAAAATGAACTCAATAACACAAAGAACTATCCTGCCACTGAAGCTGGCGTGTTTCTCTTAAGTGGAAGATATTACTGGTAAATACACTTGGAAAATGTTGTTATTGAACTCATCTTAGATATATAGTAAAGTTGTACATCACACTGAACTTTCTTGTACGAAACATTATTATGTTCCTGGAATGAACGGATATTTTGAACGCAAGGACTTACACATAAACCGGCCTAATAATCACAATTTGGGGAAGCAAAATCCATAATATCGAGATGTAAAAACAACCTGCGAGGTGGGTGGGGGGGGGGTGGTCAACGACTGTCATTATAACTAGAGTAATTATATCAGGGAAATTTAGGTCGTTTTCCCTGGGAATTAGTGATCTTTGTGAGGGACTCGCGGGTCAACACCGGTATCACATCACACATTAGAAGGCTCCGTCAGGCCACAACTTACCACGTCTGATAATACTATCACGAGATTAAATCACACGACCAAATAAGTTGCAGGCGTTATAGGTCAATAAAATGGTAGTTGTGGGAAGTTAAAGTATTGAACCAAGTTAGTTCATATCCTTGAAGGTGAGTCCCTCAGAGGACCATCACGAGCTCATAAAGTAGTATTAAAGTCGGTGACACAAAAACTCGTGATATAAAGTTTAGCAGCTGACACCACACACACACACATACATACATACACACATACATACACACGCACACACATACGCGCACGCACGCACACATCTACAGACACGCACACACACACAGAGACTCCCTGGAGCAGGGTGGTGGATGGTTCAGTTAGCCGCCGCTGCTCCTGGTGTGCGGACCTCTCACACTCCCTCCAGTACCCAGTTCTCGGTGCTTCTCCCCGCGGGTTCACCATCCACCCCTCCTCCCGTGTCAGCGCCCGAAGACACCATCACCCTCTTGTGAGCACGTACGGATATAGTGACAAACTGACCAGTACTACGCTGACGATGAACACTCGCCAGGAAAATATAATAATGTGAAGAATTCTGATTTTTTTTTATTACTGCTAGTGGTGTGACTGGGACCCCCATCCCCTAAAAATATCTGAACTGAAGAACAGTCATCTGGATTCGACTGATAAACTGATGAAAATCTCAAATGTGAAGAAAAATACAACATGAAAAGATCTAAAAGTTGGCTAGGAGGAGTAAACAACAAGGCAGCCGCCAACAAGTCGCTCTTTAGGGTGGGATGTGAAGGCTGTCCGTCACTGGTAAGCACAGACATAAGGGCGCGGCCTTGAGTGGTACTAGACAAACTCTTCCTACTCATCTTGTACAACAGTATTAGCAGGTCCCTCCAGCTACACCTGTGCTACACCTTGTTTAATGTAACTCTCATAATATTGTATTACAGTCGTGACTGCAGAATACATTTATACTGATCATAGTGCAGTCACACACACACACATATAACATACAGGTATATATATATATATATATATATATATATATATATATATATATATATATATATATATATATATATATATATATATATATATATATATATATATATGGGTGTTTATGTACCTATACCTGTAAATGTAGTATACAGTATTTGTATGAATATATTTTTATATGTGTATGTACTGTATGTATCAGTATCGAGCATGAATTGATATATGGTTGTTGAAAAAAATTATTTTCACGCTATATACTTTAATTTAATGTCCAGAGTGGCTAGCAGTGTCACGGTCCACGCTAGAAGTGTGTGTTGTGGAGCAGGTGTGTGTGATGACACGTTTATGAAAGGTATTGTTGCTTAGTACGTGAATGCTTTAAGTATTATTGCTGGGAAGTTATAACATAAGTAAATGTAAACAACGATACAGAGGAATTAAAGAGATTTAGATATATCACTCTTGGTATATCATGATATATATTATTTATATACGAGTGAGTATGTACAGTAAGTGTGCGTGCTGCAATTTTTCAACATGTGTTTGCTATAACACTTGCGTGACACTTTGTGATTCTTTATACTGTATATAAATTCTATATTGATGATAACCAAGTACTGTATAGTGTTCCCAGTTATTTCTTTCCTTGTTCTTCTGATCATTATTTTTTATTTTATTTTAATTTGTTTTTAATTCTATTTTTTCCTGTTGAGGAAAATTATTACTGTAACTTCGGGTGACTTATAAGTAGTAGGATCTCTCTCTCCCTCATTTTAAACATCACACCTTCCAATTAAATATAAATTAAATCTTTCAAAGTCATATTGTCGTCTTATAATTTTATTTCCCCACTTCTACAGGATCAAGTATTACTAAATAATAAATTTAAGTGCCTTTTATCTTTTTGGAGGAATACAAGTCTCTCTCTCTCTCTCTTTCTCTCTCAGTAGTGATATCGGCGTTAAAACTTACTCTGTATCGACGTGGGTAATGAAAGAGAGAAGGTGAGTGGAACTGGATGGTTAAGAGAGACTTGGAGGATGAGTGGGACTGGGTGGGTGTATGGAGTGGGGTGATTGAAATTGAAGGGCAGTGTTGGTTGAGTTTACGTGGTGTTGAAGGGATCCTCTTCACCTTCGTAACAGTTTCGTGTGTGACCTGATGGCTTCATGACGATGTAGGCTCTCTCTCTCTCTCTCTCTCTCTCTCTCTCTCTCATATGTATGTATCAATGTACTCATCTATTATTATCTAATATTTTCTATCACAATATATATATTTATTCCTCATTCTCATCCCCCACCCAATATATATATATATATATATATATATATATATATATATATATATATATATATATATATATATATATATATATATATATATATATATATATATATATATATATATATATATATATATATGCATAATCTTTCTATGAACCCATCTCGATGGCTATCACTGAGAGGTTTCAGAGCTTGTGAATATTACACTTCTGCTGGTATAGAGTGAGCGAGTTATCTAAAATTGATGTTTTGTCCACATACACTTTAAGCACCGTAAAACAACATGAAATTTTGTCTCACCCGGTAGATAACTCCATAATTTGTTAAGCTGGAGCTAATAAAGATGTATTTGCTGAGCTATCTTGTGTTGCAATGAAACTGTGGGACGTCTCTCTCATGTATGTTAATTTCCCGAGAAGAACTGGATGTTGATATTAACTTTGGCCCGCAGTTTGGTTTTTTCTTTCTCTATTCTGTTTTCGCAGTTCTGTTTTTGTTGGAGAGTTATTGCGAGTTTACAAAAATATTCTCGCATCACCGATTATTGTTTTTATTAATGTTATTGTATGACCTTTTCCGGTGTTTATAAGGTCGTACATATACTATACTATACTTTGTATCCAGGATCGTAGCGCGTTAAACTAATTCTCTTCGTTCTCTGTGCACACTAGACGCTGCGGTGAGGGAGACAGAGGACCTCCTAGGGCGGTGCCTCTGGGCTCAGCAGGAGACGACCTCCACACAGTAGCCGCTCCACACCAACACGCCAGGCGAGAAGACACAAGGTAACGCTATTGTCAAATTTATACTTAGTTATCACTCACTTTAAAATTGGATTTATAACATACTAATGACGTGCATATTATAAACGGTATATGTATTACTGTCTGTATTAATCCAATACATGACGAAGGCCTATACTGTGTTTCTACAGTCTTTAGTCCTCCAGTCCTCCCTTTCATCGTATGTTTCCAAATTTCCTTAGCTACTTCACCTAACCTACTGGTAGTTGGTTTCTTCCGGAGTCTTTTCTTATCTATGGTCTACTGTTATTGATGTGTTCTTATAATTTGACCAACCCTTTGCTGCTCCATAAACTGGGCATTGTAATACTCTGTGATCCTTATACCTCAGCTCTGACTCATTCATGCTTATATGAGTAGTATGGAGTTTCTGTAACAGTTGTACACTTATGGTGTCTCACAACCTTCGGTCACTAACAGCAGTACACTTCGACCACATACTTTTCTTTGCCGGCTCAGGAGCAATATTTTGCCTTTGATAATATTGTTTAATTTTCCAAAAAGTTTCTAGGTCAAACTTTTATGCAAATGGTCCATTTTTAAATATTATGGCCCTATGGCGGGCCATAGTGTGTGTGTGTGTGTGTGTGTGAGACTTCCTACTACAGTAACTATACTGTTGCAGCTAAATGAACCGTATTTGTTTAGTAAATATACTAGATTCAAATTTTTCAAAGTAATTCAGCTTTCTTTATAGAAAAACCTCATATTGTAACCATGTAATATGTATAACTATAAATTGGTTTATAAACACACAGCTGTAGTTAATACAAACAGCTGACACAACCCTTGGGACCTGAGGGTTATTAATGTGATTTTTTTTTTTTTTACGGAATCAGCCCACCAGGGCACAGGTCAATGACCCACATCAGGGCCTGGCGGCGAAATGATAATAATACAAATAATAATGATAATAATAATAATAATAATAATAATAATAATAATAATAATAATAATAATTAAAATTAATAAAAACAATTATAAACAATATTAAATAAAATATATAATAATAATAATAATAATAATAATAATAGATAATATTAATAATAATAATAATAATAAATAATATTAATAATAATAAAGGACCATAAATAAACACAAAAATTAAAATAAATTAATTATGAGAAACGATATAAGTATGTTGTGTTGTGAAAGTAAGAGAAACAATTGACACCTGCAACTGTGTGTAAATGAGGCAGAAAGTCAGATCAGCAACCTGGGACTTGGTCACACTTTTTGTGATGCCATATGGCAGCAGGGTCTACCAGTAGACAACACACTATGCCTCCAATATCTTCCCATCGCGGAGTGTGTTTCTGAGGTGAACATCAGTAAGAACACTCAGCCATTTATGTTTAACTCACAAACATGTAAAATTAAACTCTTTGCATCCACTACCTACCTTTCTCTTCTTCGTAATAGAAACAGAATTCGCCATAATGTATTTTGAAATCAATATCAACGATATAATAAGATAGCAACTGACACACTATGTACGAGTAGGAGCACAAACACTTGCTTGACCTTTTCATGGGTAACTGACGTACGAGACAGTGACAGATTTGGGCCTGGTGGTGAGCACAGTGTCTGAACGCGTACTTACATGATCAGGACTGGTACTCCCTTAAACAGAGCAATGTACTCGATACAAACTACAAGTCATATTGCTATTAATATCAGTTTGTTTATAAAATTGAAGAAAAAATAAAAGTTGGTTTGTATTTTTTCTTTTATTACGTAGATACACATCGCTTTAAATTACATTTACTTAAAGCTCACACTTATATAATAATAATGCCAAGCATTCGTGGGCCGGATGAAATTGCTTGGTGGGCCAGATGTGGTCCACGGGCCATAGTTGGCCAACCCTGTTCGGGGCCAATGTACGCTGTCACTTAATTTAATATATATATATATATATATATATATATATATATATATATATATATATATATATATATATATATATATATATATATATATATATATATATATATATATATATATATATATATATATATATATATATATATATATATATATATATATATATATATATATATATATATATATATATATATATATATATATATATATATATATATATATATACTGTAATTATAAAACGCCAGTAACAGCTTCAGTTTTACGATAATACTTTACTTTTATTAAAGTAGCGGCAGCCGGGTTCACACTCCGCCAAGTGTTTATGGTCAAGACTTCCTGGAGCGTCGTGTTACAAGCACGGGAATTAAGGCGGAAGTGGATGATGTCTGGTGTTAACACGGGCATCCTCGCTGCCGCCACTCCACACGGACACTAAACGATCGCAATGTGAATGAGTGGCGTGAGTCTGACACCATGTAACATGAATCATGCTTTCACCTAACTTAACCTGGGTAATCTAGTGGCAGCCACACCAACGAGGCAGCGTCATAGGTTATTGATATTGCCAGAAAAAAATAATAGAATATTCGATGTATAAAAGCAGAGAGCAGTTCCTACAACTCTGTGTTTTCTCTTCATTTAGTGAATATTCATTTGGTGCTCTTCAGACTACATACATGAACGTGCATTCATTATTACTGTGCTCGCCGTGTCTGAGTGTTAACGGTCACCTAATGGACTCCCGTTAATGGTGTTGCTTTTTGCTGCAACTTACTCGAATTCACCTGTGTTCATTTATTATAGTGATAACAATAAGAAAACTTAAACAAAAAGGACGGAAGAGGCGGAAGAATAAGAGTCCCTCGTCACCAGGAGCAGCAGCTCCACGTGGCCAACACAAGACATTCACCAACACACATAAGAATGGAGGAAACTGCAGCGGGCCTATTATAGGGATGCGATTACTACGTTAAAATCTCATAATTCCAGGTTACATATTTAATCAGAGTAAGAGCAGCAAGTTTTAACAGCTATAATTGTAATGGTATACACGTTAAAATGGCTATGTTTTTTATAGAACCAACGAGTGATTACCTGTAAATTGTATGCAAATTAAAAGCACTCAGCGTGGAGCAAAATTCTATATTATATTACATACATTTAATGGAAAATGTAAATTTCTTTATGAGCTGGAATAATTGTTGACAGTGTCGCTGGCTCAGGCTGACCGACACACCATCTCTGCCTCTCATAACCTGACATCAGACGTCTCTCTCTCTCTCTCTCTCTCTCTCTCTCTCTCTCTCTCTCTCTCTCTCTCCACTGCCTTTATTCTCTAGCAGTCATTTCATCAGCCTTCTCTCTCCCTGGGGATGTTTATTTAATCCGCTCTTACCAGACATCGCCCACCACCTCTTCAACACGCCCTTCCTCCTCGCCTTACCGTGCCTGTTCAATCCTCTCTCGGTCACACATCAACATATGTATCTCCCTCCTACTCCTCCTTGCTTTGTTGTCCTCTCAACCTTCCATATGACAACTGGTTCCGTGACTTACTTTTTTTTCATATTTCTTTATTCCTGTCAAAAATCTTCAACTTATTGTCCATTCCCTTTGTCACAACATTTTACACCTTCCTTCCTTCCTTCCTGTTAATCATTTTTACGAAATCCCGATGTATGGCCTGCCCTCTCCCGGTTAGATCTTTCTTTTAGTCCGTACCGTTTCATATGCTACTGTAAGTACGTTAAACCTTCCCTGCCACACCACAATTGGACGTGTTATCCTTCTTGTATATCCCAGAGTCCTTATCCGCGTGCGTGCATGCGTGCGTACATGAGTGTGTGTGTGTTTGTGTATGTGTGTGTGTGTGTGTGTGTGTGTGTGTGTGTGTGTGTGTATTTGTGTATGTGTTACAGTGAAAGGGTGTGGGGGAAACCTCAGACAGAAAGCCGGGTTGGGCCTTGTGTCGCAGATAATGGAAATAAACGTCATCTGGCAACCCCTCAGCCAACTGCTCTGGGCAACGCACGCTTACAGAGCTCAGTAAGACCCCAACGGCAGAATAGGTGGAAGAGGTGACCAAAATAGGGAATCGAACGGCTACTCCGGCAGATGAAGGCTAAACCCAACAAACTGGGCGATCGGCAGTCAATTGCATCTCTCCCTTTCCTCAGTTGTTGCAGCTACCTGCACCACTGGATCAGGAAAAGGGAGAGCCAAGATATGTGGTTGCAGCCTGCGCTCCTGCCTCACCACATAAATCAACAGACGAGTGGCGATGAGGTTAGGCAGAGACGACTGCCAGGAGTAACTAGTTACACTTCTGCACATGGGAGGCACAGATAAAATGGTCGTTTATGCAGTGCAATCCGTTTCTGTCTGTGCGATTGAGCAGCTCTTTCCAGGAGCTACACTGCTCACCCCACATGGGGAGGGGGCTAGGAAGGGTGCCCTAAAGATAGCCTGCCTAACAAACCAATCTGACTGGGCAACCACATCCAAAAAGGTCATCCCAATGCGGTCAAAAAAGTCACAACAGATCAAAGCAAAAGCAAATGATACAACCTCTTATGGTCTCTTCAGGATACTGCCAAAAATGAGTGTCCTCAAAGAAAAACAGCCCTTGTGGCAAAAGAGCTGTCTATATACAACATCGACATAGCAACCATTACTGAGTCCCAGCTCACAGAACGGGGTTCCGGCAATACCTTCTTCTGGGATGGCAAGTCTGCTGTGGACAGAATCCGTATTTATGGAGTTGGCATTGCCATTTGCCAATCCATCCTACATAGGCTAACTGGAATGTCTGTTGGAGTCAATGAGCGCCTTATGACACTCCAAGGCCCACTGAATGACTCGCATCATGCTTCTTTCGTCAGTGCATACGGACCAACTCTGAGTGCAAAGAATGCCATAAAGGATGCCTAGTATCCTGACCTTGACAGAGTGCTAACCTATATCTCCAGTGAAGATAAGGTTGTGCTCCTACCAGAGTTGGCAAATATGCAGTCTTATGGCAGGAAATCATTGGGAGTAAGGGAGTAGGTAAATGTAATCCCAAAGGCCAACTCCTCCTCAGCAAGTGTGCTGAA